CGTTCCCTCCTCGAGGCCGCGACAGGGGCTGGCAACTCCTGGGCGAGGAGAGAGGGAGGGGGTGAAGGGCAGGTCAAGCAGGGCTGCCCCATGGTGACCACCTGCCCAGGGGTGCTCCATCTGCTCCACTGCGTGCCCAGCGCTGGCCAGCACCAAGGAGCCCCAGTGGGCAGCAGCAGCTCACACCTAATGGATGCCCAAGGGACATCACTTTATAGACTCCAAAAAAGGCCCCAGTGGCCTCCCTCAATGGGCAGTTTTGGCCAACACCCAATGACCACAGCTGGAAATGATTTGTCTTACTGGCCAACAAACCTTCAGTGAACATGATTGGCCAAAACCTCACTCATCACCCAGCAGGTGACACGGGCCAACACCCAATGATCCCCAAGGGACTTGGTTGCTCAACAGCCAGTAGACCTCTCCCAAAGGCCACTTTAGGCCATTTCTCCATTGAAGGCTCAGTGGCCCAAAGACCACTCAATGGACACCAGTGGCCAGTGCAAGGGGTTCCTAGGGCAGAGAAAAGCAAGTGTCTGCGTGGAGCGGTCTCACCTCCAGGTGTCGTTGACCAGGTCATAGCACTCCACAGTGTCTGTGCAGTAGAGCTCCCCCGAGCTGCCCCCCAGGGCGTAGATGAAATCCCCAAGCGCCACCGCAGGGAAGTAGCTCCGTCCGCAGGTCATGCTGGCCAAGCGCTCCCAGGAATCATCCAGAGGCTGGTACCTGCGTTTGAGAGATGAAGGGGCAAGAGACAACCCCGTATCTACAATGCCATGGGGTGATGCTGGCACCACGGAGGGCAGCAACCCACCTGCAACCGGCCAATTCCATAATGCCTTGGAGCCACATGGTTGCCTTGCATGGGAATATCCCCTCCACTTGTGCAATACCAAACCCTGAGGCATCTCCAGGTAGGACCCTCCTTGCCCTACCCCCCAAAAAGCTATAGCATCTCAGAGTGGGAGAGCACCTCCAGTGCTACACCCAACCAAGCCCCATGTCTCCTTGGGTCCATGGCGCAGCTCTAGCTTCACCAGCACCTCCTCTGACCCCACAACGTATGGTGCCACATAGACATACAGGCCCTCAGTAGCTCTCACCTGTAGACACTGGCCAGGGTGTCATGGACCCCATAGTAGTGCTTTCCACCCAGGATGTAGAGGATGTTGCCCACCACAGCTATAGCATGGCGGAAGCGTGGCCCATCAGGAAAGTGTCCCAGTGCCCTCCACTCCACCGTCTTCACCAGCCCCACAGCGCTGAGGTAGCGATGTGCGAACCAGAGGTGTCTGCTGGGCTTCCGGGCTGCCAGGTTGGACGTCAGCTTTTCTCCACCACAAACCACCAGCACCTCTTGCAAGGATCGCACCCGACACGGCAGCTGGGCTGTGGGGGCCAGACTTGCGACTATGAGCTCACGGATGACCTTCGGATCAGCTACTCCTGCGGTCACCGACGGGACCTTCTTCAGCTCCCAGGTGGACATGAGGGTGAAGCGGACAGATGACAGGACTTCCTTGGCTACATCCTCTTTGCCATCTCTATTGGCCATAAGCCACCGAGATGCTGCTTCCAAAGCCTCCAGTTCATGGAGGACATTGAGACCATCAGAACGGAGGAGGCGGATGAGAAGGTGTGCAGGAAGATCCAGGAAGGCCGGTGTGGCCACCACGCTGGGGAAGGTGGCCAAGATGTAGTCCTCTGCTACGCGGCTCACCTGGGCCAGCTCATAAGCCACAGCAAAGGCCAGAACATCTGGGCCAGTGTCTGGGGTCAGGCCATGGGTGAAAACATCCAGGCAGAGCGTGAGGAGCCCCCACGCCTGGTAGCGCAGGGAGGTCTCGGCTGCCTCCAGGACCGTGGACCACGGCCCGGCCACCGCCCCGGTGTACGCGAAGGAGAGGAGCAGGCGCAGCTCGGCGGGGGACA